GATTAAATTCGTTGCCAACGCTTTTAAAAGTCGATTTTTATCGATTTTATCGATTCGTTGTTGCAGCCCTACATTCATCCATTTCAATATGCATGTTTTCTTAACAAAAAAAAAAGAATTTGTTGGGCTACTGGATAAAGCTTTAATCTCAACGCTATTTCTGACATTTTGAATTGAAAAAGCTGGATGTGAAGAGAAACGTCATCAAAGTTGGAAAGAAAGTCCAGTGGATTTTCCTATAACTTTTTTGGAATGACTATGACCAGGATGACTGGGAATCTTTACCAGCATTAAACCTGATCACACAGTGTTGCAACCATGATTTAGACCTGCATGTTTTCAATGTTTGAGCAAAATGGCATCGCCTAAATCTAGTCGGATTTAAGACATTTCCAGGTTCTTTTAAAATGAGCCGTTAAGTTTTTTTTTTTTTTCAAATATTTATTTAGAAAAGTTAACAAACTAAAAGTAACTTTTTAATCAGATTAATAGATAATTCAAAATAAAATCAACAGATTAATAGATCAAAGAAATAATCAGGTTGTTGGATTACCAAGATAATGGATCTGTACCGCTCCAGAGGTACTACTCCTCACAGCGTGGACCTTGGACAGACCATATACAGAACTCTCAGAGAGAAACTAATGGATCCGACTGTAATTTACCATTTATGCTCTGAGTGTGGATGGAAACCAAACCAACCAGAGAAAAAACAGATTATAATCTTAGTTCGATTCACATGAAAAAGCCTAAAAGCTGTCCTTTGGCCAATTCTGGTTCCTCATGTGAGAAAACCAACCCTCTCATGCCTCAGCATGTGTTCTGCTTTGCTTGAGGTGGCGGCAGAAATAGCAAAGCGCCATCAAATATAGCAAACTAATTATGGGCTTGACTTGAATGAGGCCACTTGTACAGCTCTCAGATAACTTTCATTTCAGGTCACAGCAAAAAAGGAAAAGCTTGTGAAAATAAAGCTTTCATGAGAGATCAAAGGCCATCTTTCGACTCAGCTTCATTTCCTCTTCTGGGTAACTTTCAGGAGACATAAAAATATCCCCAAAGAAGGCCTGTAAATTCAGCTCACACAGAGGAAGGTGGGCAGGTTAAGGTGGAGCGGCTGCATGTTTGGCATGGGAAGGCCTTAAAAACTACCGGTTGGGCTAGCAAAAACAATAAAAAAGATTAAAAACTGTTTGGTTTTCATCAAAACAAACCAGCAGAGGTGACAACATGTCATCTCTGTGGCTTGCATGGATGGATCCATTGATCCCGTATTCCTTATTAGGTTCATCTCCAGCAGGGGCTTTCCTCCAAGACAGAACTCTGGCTACCTGCTCATTTATAACATTTAAACTTTTACAGTTCCCTTCTCTGAAAAGAATTGGAATGCAGATTTTCATACAAACTGGAATTGAAGGAAGAAATAGTTCAAATTTAAACGATGCTGACCCTAAGCCATCAGCTTCCAACCAAAACAACTTTAAAGTCATAAGGAAACGGCCGTTCCAACCGTTGCATTTCCGAATTCTCCCGAGTGGTGCCCGACTTTACACGAATGAATAAAGTGATTGTGAGTTGTTTTTGTCAAGGGGGCGGGATTGTTGTGGCGGAAGGTTCACAAGCCAGTTTGGTTGTGGCCGGTTTGTCGGAAGAATCTTGCTAACAAGTGATCAACTTAGTGCTAGTAGGTTCCCCATGAGAAATGACATTGGGATCAAGTAGCACTGGTCCTGAGCATGCCAGTGACGTTACACTACATGATTGGCTGAATGTGGCCACATGATGTAAAACAGCGGGGTTGCCCAGACAACGATAATAACATCACGCAGCGTCCGTGTGCAGAGTCGGGAGCATGTGTAATGTTAGCATGTCTAATGACTGATGAAGTTTTACCTGATCGATAAAAAAACGGGGAAAAAAAGTTTATGGTGAACAGTAACTGCAAGACCATGGTGTAAAGGGGGAGAGCTGGGTAGCGCTGTGGCTAGCTGTGCTCAATAGCTAACAGGTTAGCCTCTTTCAGCTAGTCGGTTAGCCATATTAAGCTACATAACTTTTAACTTTGTGTCAACCGTTTTCTACAAGAAGAATAACTTTTTTATTTGTCCAAAATCTCTACGAAAGTCATTTTTAAGATGTCCCCTTTTTCCTCCATTGCCCTCAGATATTAATAAAAGAATAAAAATAAGCTGAGACATTTTTTCTCATCTTGTTAAATGGCAGACCTCAGTCTTAGAACACAGCACTTTCCTTCAAGACTGAAAATGATTGTTTTCCATTGATCCTTAAAAAACTGGTGCAATACAGTATGTCCGAGTGCGAGCTGAAATATGTTGACGTCATAAGGAGGGGCAGGGCCCTGAGCAGATCTGGTACCTACAGCTCAGAAGCTTGGTTTGGTGTACAGGGCTTACAGCCGTACATGTTTGAGCTCTTGCCTCGCAACAGTTCTATTAGCTCTACGCCTGCCGAAGACACAGACATCCATCCCCGTGAACACTGGGACGGAACTCAATGGGAAAGGAAATTATTCTTATTTCAACCGTTGCGTATATTAGTATATTAGCATATGAAGATCAAGATGCTATGACCGAAAACATTTGATTGACAGATGACCGTTGATATATGATTGGGCGAATTTAGATGTTCAGGCTGATGTATAACTGGCCTGCATAAGATAAGCATGCATAAGCCAGAATGATTTGACAATTAATTATAATTTCCCTACAACATTAACATTGAATTATAGAAAGCTGACCTATCAAGTTCACTGAAGCTCATTTAATGCATCAAAAATGTTTGCAAGCTACTGTAATATTATTTAAGAAGATAATGGACATTGATTGAAAGCATGTTTACAGAGAAAGTTGAGACAAAATCTCATTGAAGTACTAATGAAGTTCAATAGCTCTGAATTAAAATCCTGATGCAACCGTAGCAGAGCCGACTGGTATTGTTAGGGAGCCACCAGTAAATAACAGGAGGGGGACAGAAACCTAATGCAGATATAACACAAAAGCAGGAATCATTAGCCACCAAATCAGGTCAGCAAAAGGAATGTGAATGTGATTGGCTGCTGATCTGGACCACATACTCACTGCAGCCCTCAGCTCCACACATGGCTGCTCTGCACCCGTGCAGCAAACTGTTAGAATGAAGGATTGTTCCACACAGGATCACGCAAACTAATCCAGTCTGACATAAAAACCAACTGAGGTTCAGCCTCATGTAAAACTACTGGATGAAGCAGGCAGAGTTTTTATTTTCGTCTAAATAAAAACATTCAACTTGTAGAACGGTAGGCATTTGGCACAGGACGTCATGTCCATTATTGTGCATGAATATGTCAATAAACGGCGTTCACTGAATACGTTAATTTTTGTGGTGATCGGTGAGCTGAACAGATCAGTTTTAAAGCAATGAACATTAACGAGAGAGACGTTCACTATAAGAAGACTGAGCGACACGCACAGCTCACGTTAACGTTTAATTGACAACAACACTTTTCAATGGTCAGGTTTTACGGCTCCTATTATGGCAAACAGCCTGACAGAGCAGCACGCCGGTACTAGTCTGCTCCATTCAGACTCATCTGCTGGTATTTCTGATGCCAGTTTAGCAGAGCCTTGGCAGAGTTTGATCAACAAAGGACGACTTGAACGGAAAAAAAACTTGTTTTTGTGTAAGCTGTGCCCATCAGGACTTAACATAGTCTGTACGTCAGCCATGTCCACTTCATATTGAAAGCGACACATCAAGTTAAAGCATCTAAGCTATTATAGGAAATATCTCCCTCTGACTGAGGAACGTAAGGAATCATTTTGGATCCAGATCCTTTCAGCAGAACCTGAACCTGTTTCTGAAAATGACTGTGTCCCTAGGTTCACCACCAATCACACCTGGAAGTTTGCAGAGGACACCACGGTGGTGGGCCGCATCAGAGACGACAACGACCACAACTACAGGGAGGAAGTGGAGCAGCTCATGGACTGGTGTATAGACAGCAACCTGATCCCGAACATAGAGAAGACAAAGGAGATTATCTTGGACTTTAGGAGGAACCGGCCTAAACACGCTCCACTGCTCATAATCATGTTGTGATATGGCCAATACAGTCTAATTAGAAATAAAATGGCTGTTTTGCTCATAATGTTGGGCCATATGCTTCAATTTAAATATGTGTATAATGTAATGCTTGTATTTTTCCCTTGGGGGATCTGAAGTCAACAAGTCATTTCTATGTCATATGTTTGTCCTGCCTAGCCGATTAAACAGGTGAGTCCAGCCTGCAGAGTGAATTGATCTATGCAGATTGGACTTACCTGGTTCACTGGCTGGGCAGAACAAACAAATTACATAGAGATGACTAGAAGGTTTGTGTGTTAAGGAAAGGTTTAGACCCAGCACTGACATGGAATCCCTTTTTAAGTGTTTACTAACTTTTTTAGTGTTATTAGATTAAGAAATGTGTTATTACAGAGTTCATGTGAGGCTTTTATTTGAAATCCAACTGTCCTGTGTTAACAAACATGGTGTACATTCCTTCAGATGTCAGTAAAAGGTAGATCCTCCATTTACTTTAGTCTAGGATCAGCTGCAGAGCTTAAACTGAATGGCTCCCCCATCTGTGATGTCATCACAATGAGTGGAACACTAAACCTTCGTTTTCACCGGGTGCATTTTCTATATCAAAACATCTTGTTTACTTGCAAAGTCTATAGGGGACAGCGTTGAAAAAGTCCAGCAGCAGATATGCATTGGGAACAGCCATCCGAGTGTTCTGGCATCCGAGCTTAGGAGCATCCATGCTTCTGAGCGCTCTGGTATCCGAGCTTCAGAGTGTCCCTGTATCCTAACATTCTGGTGTCCGAGCATTCAATGCTTCAATCTGTTGTGATAGATTGAAGCATTGAATGGCCTGTTTTTTCATTGTAGTCCTGTTTCTCTGACTGTGACTGACTGGATGTACTCTCTTAATCCTCTGACATGGGAGCTGGCTCAGAGCTCGTCTGCCTGGCTGTGTTTCCTGAACAGGGCCGCCGTTTATAGCTGCTTTTTGTATCTCTGCTTCTGTCTCCTTGAACCCCAGTCGGCCTCAGCAGATGGCCGCTCACACTGAGCCTGGTTCTGCTTGAGGTTTCTTCCTGTTCAAAGGGAGTTTTTTCTCTCCACTGTCGCTATAAGCATGCTTAGTGTAAGGGATTGCATTCAAGTCAATGAGTGGATGCAATCAACTGGTTTTCCTTAGATGAAAAACGCTGAATCAATCTGACTGGATGATCTGGTGAACTGGAAAGTACCTTGAGATGATGTGTTGTGAATTGGCGCTATAGAAATAAACTGAATTGAATTGTACTTACTACTCAAGAACAAGTACCATCTCTGAGGCCATCTCGTAGACCTGGTGGAGGTTGACCACCCGTGGACTGGCTGTGGCCAGCTCAAGCACGGCGATTTCATGGATGATCTCCGTCCGGCAGTCCTGACCTTTCCGTCTCTTCCTTATAAACTTGGCGGCATACTCACGGCCTGTAGATTTCTCCACGCACTTCCTAACCACAGCAAACTTCCCCCTAAAATAAAGGAACAGTGTCAGAACATGGCACATTTACTATCGCGTGCTTGGCATTCATTGAGAAACAGAAAAACTCAGTTCACACCGATGATCACAATGCTCAATTCTGATTATTTTTGCAAGAATTTCAACTTGTTCTCCCATTAGCCGTTCATACCACTGATTTATTTTGCCATCAAAGACAAAGGAAGGCAAGAAAAAAAAGAAAGCCCAGGCCTTTAGTGTAGCAGAGATGCTGAAGTCTGCATGGGGGAATCAAACAGGGACAATATCGCCGTTTTTCACGGCGATATTGCCCCCCCCCCCAAAAAAAAACAATAATGATGGAAGCAAGCTTTAAGAGTGCTATAAAGATGCACTGAAGAGTATCATTTACGTTGTCAATGTAATTTTTATTGTAAAATTTCTACAAAGGAAAATTATCATAATGTGAAAAAGTTAATTATACATTAACTTTAAACATTTACATCCTATCTAATTAACAACAGCACACTTAAAACAAAAACACAGCTATGTAAACATGAATAGAGAATAGCTTTAGGATTGTGAAAACGCATTCAAGTAACGGTGGTCGATTGTCTGTTTACATGATGAAGGAGGGACAGAGACAGTTATTTAATGTAAACATCGTGCTAAACAGCTACTATCATTAGGCTGATGTTAACCATCGGATAAATGTGGCCTTTTACTGTTGCTTGGTCTGTTTGATGAAGGGAAACTCTCAGCTCTGTGAGCTTTCTGGCTTAGTTGTCTGGCCTCTGTGTTTTTTACAGACACACAGGCTCAATAAATGCTGGATTCATTCTGGTTTATTCTGTCTTGAAAACTAATAATGAAACACAACAAAATAAAAATAAAAACTTGCAATCATGTTTCATTTCAGACGCACCCAGCTGGGCGGCATCATTAATGATGTGATTCCCCTCCCACATTGAGGAGGGTTAACTAAGTAGCTGTATCCAATAAATAGCTATCTTATTTTACTAAATAGGTTAAAAATCTATCATTACTTTGAACTATTCAGTTAAGAAACCTTTCAGGAAAAAACAATAGGGGACTTCTTCCTCTCTCCTATTTCTCCTTCCTATCTCTTCCTTTTTGAAACCCAGACTTTGGGTTCTGCATTTTTCAGCCGCGGACTGTTTTTTGCCACTCTGCTGCTTATTTACACATTTCCTTGTCAATTGTTAATTTCTTTTTTCTGGCAGTTAAGTAAATGCAGGAGTTCTGTTTCAAGGTTGCAAAAAAAAAAAAAAAAACGTCATAGTTTGTAATGTTGAAAGAGCATGAAACAGGTCATTTAAGGAGCTAAGGAACACATTTTTAACAGAATGCTGCTACTAATCATACTGACGGAAAGTATGATGTGTCAACGATAACTGTGAGGTAAAGTTTTTTTGTTTTTATGAAATTCAGGAGCGTAAAACAGTTCAGCTCTAAAGGCTGAATCACTGAGCACATCCCAAGCCTCTTGTCTGGTTTTTGGGTTTCATTTAGATTAAACCATCTCAATGGTTTAATCCTGCATGCTCCATATATCCTGTGTATGTACTAATTTATTTTTAACAAGTTAGAAAAATAAAGGAACTTCTCAAGACATTTTGCATTTACAAATAGGCATCTGTGTGATTAATTACCGGGGAGGGGATTTACCATTAGAAAATACTAGGCAGCTGCCTAGGGCCGCAAGTTCCTGGGGGCCCCATAAAACTCTGTTTACATTTATAGTTAATAAGATTATTCCTTATTTGTGCATGTTCAGAAAGGTTTGAAAACAAACGATGCGAAGAGCAGCATTGCCAACTTAAAGCATTTGTCGCTATATTTAGTGACTTTTCAGACCCCTCTAGCACTTTGATTTCAAAAAAGCACCTAGCGCTCAAATCTACTGACTTTTTTCTGCTACTGGAGACTTTGGAGACAACATCTAAAAGCAGCGAACTCTGCTCTCCAGAGCCAGTAGATTGGTAACCCCGCCTCCTGCTCTCCTCTATCTTGTCTGCTGTCATGATTCATGCAGCTATTATTTCATCTAAATGAAAAATGGAGAACAGAGAAGCAGATCATGGCTTGTCTACAGTGAAAAGAAGGAGTAAAAAAAAAGAGAGAGGAACAAACTAGAAA